TCGCCGATCGGACCGTCAGGCTGGTGGAGGACGTACTCGAAAAAGGTTTCGACACGGTAATGTAGTATACCTACTTGCTAGTTGTGTATTTAACTAACTCTGATATATACCCGCTTGCTAATTATGTATTATGCCTACAGTATCACTGATATATACCTACTTGCTAATTATGTATCATGCCTACAGTAACTCTGATATATACCTTTAATGTACACGTATCGTTACACGGATGCATTCGCACACACACTCTATTGGTGCACAGATGCATTTGCACACACTATGGGGGCACAGATGCATACGCACATGCACACTAGTTTGAATACTCGCTTATATACAATTAATTCATCGCACAGGTTTTGGTAGGCCGGATTATTGATCCAGCCTATATGCCGGGTTTCCAGTACTTTCGGCTGAGTGCAGACCAATTCCGCGCCTTAGAAGCAGGATATAGTGAATATGTCGTCCAGTTGGAGGCGGGTCTCGAGCGAGTGCGGAAGAGACGTGAACAGAGGCCACAGAACGGTGAGTACAGTTTCAGTGCGGAAAGCTCTGGGGAGTGTAGGCAATCCAGCTGATAATTTCACTCTAAATCAATGCTGTTTGCTTTTTCTTGTCGTGAATATATCTTCTTGTACATATGTCTTGTTATAGTCGAATCAATAATAAATGACACCACCTTCCACATGTATCATAGAGACAAACGCTATTTATTTTTATCCTGTATAGTCACACACCTTGTTCGCTAACACACACCACTACGCACATTCTATTACCGCCAGAAGTTCTGTACTGGAACCCACAACTCATCATGGAGCAGCACCTCTCTAGGACACCAGCGGACGAACTCGGTCCAGACCAACACCCGCAGGAAGCGGCCGAAATGAATACAATCATCTGCACACGTGCGGAGTGCTTGTTTGTAGCTGATGGATTCCACCCCAAGTCATCCACACAAAGTTTGTTTGGTCGGCATGTGAGTATGATGCTGCAGAAACACATGATGTCCTGCGATAAAGCTTGAGATTGGGAGGGTATCCGACGACACTACTTGTCGCATCGGGTTCTGCGGGGAGGCGCGTAGGGAGAGTTACTACAGGAGAGCTGTGGCGTGCACTGCTGAGATCTCGCATGTATCGAGGCGAAAGGTTGTCGCCATACGCAGCACTTCTCCAGAACATGTGTAGCTGTATGCACCAAGACAACGGGTCATTTACTTCCATCGGAGCTGCCTCTTCCGTCGACATGTATTACATACTTGATCCCCCCAGATCACCTCCCATCTACCCATGAATATACCGTTGCCTACCTGAAGATAAAATCAGAGATTTACCGTTGATTCACCTACTCTCCAGCTGTAACCTTCTGCATCGCTCAGGCCGCAGCCAGTAATTGCCCATCCTACAAAGTATCCAGACTCCTCTTTGCACTTTTCGAGAGTGTCAGGATCTGTTTTATCACAAGCATGTCTTGGCTCTGAGCATGTGAGTGGTCGTGAGTTTTATTGTGACCGGGGACAACTATGTCATGTCTGAAGGTCGTGAGCCCTATACTGCCATACGTTCACGATCTGTTTAATTCTTGAGGCATGTTCTAATGCAGACATACTTCGCGCAGGGAAACTTGCGCTGTGTCTCCAACTAGTAGTCCTCATACTACAGTTTGGAATAGCAAGATGATCACATTATCCGGTATCGTTTAGTGTCTGCTCGGTCTAATCGGTGCATTCGGTTTGCCCTCCAATGCTCTGCGATACTTCATACAGTGCCCGCGTAAACTAACCTCATGCTCATTAAACTAATTTAATATTGATAGACAACTACCGGAAGCGCAAAGAGTTCCTATAAGCGATACTATTGGTTGATGTACATAAGCGTACCCAACCTCCATCAACAAGCAAGTCTTATTACGAATAAACACAATGAGATTTTCTTCTGTGTCAGACGCCCTAATTTTTATATCGAAATCATTCTTTCCTTTGGTCTAGCACCATAAATGTACTGCAAAACGGGCCGTTCGTTTCGCCATAATCTGGTGACACTAGACAGCAGACAAACGTTGGTACACTAATGGCCTGATGACACTAATTAGTAGACTATTAATGAGCTCGACAATGCTTCAGGCCATTAATGAGGTAAATCAGTGACCTAGTGACACTATACGGTAAACAACTAAAGTACTTTACAACGGCACATTCTTGCCCAAGAACGACAGCGATTCGCCAAAGAATATTCTCCGCATGGCTTCAGTAAGCAACGGGCTGATATCCACCACAACCAGTTTGGAGTACTGCTTGGCACGTTCTGCCTGGGGCACTGAATTCGTGACGATCACCTGGTATAGTTTAAAATGGCAGAGAATATGCTTAGAACACCGTAACTCAGCTCTACATCCTCTAAATCGATGGAATTGGCAGACGTTAGACTGCTCGACTGCTCGTCCCACTGAAGTAGTGTCTGAGAAATTGTTGATGTCGTGCTGTGGCATGCCACCTGACCCTTTGAAGCCCGATTATCTATCCCACATAGAACTCTACGCATGTCCGTGATGGACGGTTCGACTGTGGGGTACTTGCGTACGCATGAGTTATCAAAGCAGTGGAAAATTCAACTATGGGTATTGAATTTTAGCAGTACTGCCACATGACTTATTTGCTGCTGGCAACCACAGACAATCAAGGTAACGAGCTTAAGAGATACCAAAGCAGTGGAAAATTGAACTACGGGTATTAGATTTTAGCAGTACTGCCACTGACTTATTTGCTGCTGGCGACCACAGACAACTAGGGTACGAACCACGAGCTTCCCCCGTCATCAGATCTGAATATATAACACATCAGGCAAACTACACTCCCAAGTTCTGAAGGCACCCATATAGATCTTCGAGCAAACAAATCTGCTGCAACAACGAATATACACACACGACATGGCTACACCATACCTTGTCTATACAGCTGCGTTGTAATTGAGAAAGCGCAGTACCAGATAGAACGCCATGCGTAGCTATCACCAGCACCTTCTTGGCGCCCATGGCCTTAACGATCTTGGCGGCGTGGATGAAGGACTTTGGCTTATCGATCAAATCATCCTGTTTAAGGTAAAGTATTTCGAAACAAATTCGATCTGGTTGCTTGGGAGTATTGCAGCACATGCACCAATAACATGTAGAAAATTGTGCTTTGAGAAGTCATTCAGATGTTCACTGATCATAGACAATCTCGCTCTGGGCATTGATTTCGCTTCTAAGCCCGATACTCAGGTCTCGAGTCTGCGCAGGCAAAGGCCTTCGAGCTAAACGAGAATGTCAGCTACCACAAGTACATTATATACACATACCACCACAAGCATTAATGACGTATTATTACAAAGACTTTGGCATATGCAACAAAAATGTATATTCAATGCAGTTTGAATATAGTCATGGTCTAACCTTATACTATTGTATAAAATAAGTTCGAAAAATGTACTCAATATGCATATACAGACGATATATCTACACGTATACATTAAATACATGCGCACATATTTCAATATCCGTATACGTGTTTCTTTACAAGGCCCACAGGTTCACCATAAACCCGAATCAATCCCAGGATATCTGAAATTCCCAGCACCATGCAGAGACGAAGTGCTTACCATTATGATGACGTTCATGCCGTGAACATTGCCTAGCAACCCATACTCCTCCTTGCCCGTAAACACGCTCTCGGTTCCACTGTCCAGGCACTTTCGAACGCCATCGCCCTGAAACTCATGGTTGATCATGGCCAAACCGAGCTTAAGACTGGCAGCTATCGAACCAGCACTACATAACGGGAATTGGGGTACGGATACATTAATGAATCACAGGAAATAGAGGCTCATAGATTAATCGAGTATCAGAGACAGAAAAACTGTGTGCATGTAGGGTTGAAAACGCCCCGCCACAAGCATCGGCTTTAGTTTATAGACGATAAATTCTTACAAAACTGACGTGACTGTTCATCATGAATCTATGCCTGGACTCAAAATATGGATTGAGGTGCATTTGTGCATGTATGGGCGAATTCCAAAACTAGTCGGTATCACGTATCATATTCGTACAGACTGACTCGTACATATAAAGGGTATCAGAGTCAACGGTATTCCAAGCACATTCTACTATAATCCCAATACAGACACTCATACAACTTCAGAAACATCGGAAATTGCATGTATCCATCTAGCGCTCGCCTATCACTAAGGTTTCAATACTGCTCTGTTCTTTAGAATAGCTGATATTCACTGCAAGGTCACCGCCGTCACCATGGTTACCACCAGGCGATACACACGCGCAACAAATGGATCACAGGTTGGTCACATACCGCTTTGCAGCCCCGGCATTCTTGGCCAGGCAGACATAGTCCGTCTCCTCATCTGCCAGGATGTTCTCAGTGATGTACTTGATGAAAAACGGCTCCACCTTCAAATTGTCGCACGGGATGTCGAAGAAGCCTTGGATCTGAGACGCGTGTAGGTCCAGGCACACAACGTGCGTAGCTCCTGCGTACATACACAACCAATGGGAAAAGCGTTGGTGTGAGTGTTTATTGAGGTAGTATCGGTGTCTATAGAAGTAGTATCAGTGCATGTGAACTCTATCCAGTCTAGACAAATGTTACCACTACTATCACACTGGCAGTAAGCTCATGTACACAGTTTAAGACGTTTGAATAACCAACAACTGTACTTCCGACGTGAGCGTAATAAAGACAACTCCAGCATTTCCACACAAACACGCATATGCTATTTCTCTCCTACACCTGCCACACAAGAAAACCGAGTATCTCTACACCACACACCTGCAACCTTCAGCATATCCGCAGCCAGCTTAGCTGGGATTCCCCGTCGGCCCTCCTTCTTCTTGCTCTGCTTGCTGTAGAAGTAGTACGGGACCACCGCCACAATCTTACGCGCCGCGGACATCTTACACGCCATGATCATAATGCACAGCTGCATGAGTGCATCGTTCACGTCGCTGCGGTTGAGGGAAAATCACCAGAAGTAGGTGTGAGTATGTATGTGTGGGCGTGGGCATGGGCGGCACAGGGAGTTAGTCATAGGTGCCATATTAATTCGTTCCTGCTGTATCTGATATCGAGTATTCTTGTGTGTATATAGGGCACCCTCCTGTTGTGGTCAAATTTTATGTCAGTAGATAACTATCAACATGCACGCGTGTGTAGTCAGTATATCACGAGTGTCAGTTTTCGAGCACACGCGGGTGAGTGAAAACATAGACTGTAAAGGTTACTCTTAGTCTAAGTGACAGTTTCCAGGCTGTCCCGGCAGATAGTCTGAGATCTCCAAACGATTATAATACATAGTTACACCTCAATGTCTAGGGTGATGCCTCAATGTTATATGAACACGTGATACTTTCTTAACCCATGGTACACATGAACCTCAGTGTGCTCTATGCTAAAGTGTTATCTCATGGGGCAGGGCGGCAGTGATAAGACGAAGGGTTGTGCTTGGGTGGGTGGGTAGGTGAGTATATGTGGGCGTGTGGCTGGTATGTTTGCTGCCCTAATCGTATAGCATGGAGTGACGTGCAAGCACCATCTCTCAATGCTCGGCTGTAGTGCCAGCATACTAGTCATGTAAGTTACACAACCGAGAATACTAGTCATGTAAGACGGGTATTGTGCGACATCATATCTGAAAGTTCAGCCCCCTCCGATGAACAGTGTCCGTGCTTCCGCTGCATAGTTGTCACGTAAGACGAACATTGTACGACAACATATCTGACTATTCAAACCCCTGATGATGATTGTCCCAAGCTCTTCATGCCGCCCTCTACAAAACCTCGATAAGTTAAAATCGGCCGCGAACGTAGAATATTGGCAATGATAGTAATACACATGCGTGTTTAAAATATGCAAAGCACCTTTGCCAGTGTTTTACCAGCAACGTTGTTGGCTTATTGAGGGCCTAGCACACATACAGAACCTCGCATAACCACTACATACCCGCAGCCACTCTGCACGATATATACGTCCATATCTCTTACGGAATCCAAAATCTCCACATCAGACTCTGATGGAAAGAATGGAGCACCGAACTATTGAGTGTTGATAGAATTTCTCATACCAACAGCCCAGAACGGCATACACAGTCTTGATGTGATCAGTGGTGTTATAAAAGTTGGGTGCTAATCGTTGACTTGTATTCCGAGATATAGCACAGGGTGATGTACACGTACAGAATAACGACAAACAATACAACTAAAACTGGACATACTAATAAAAGCTGACTCACAAGACGTATTTGATTGGGCAAGGCGGGTGTTCTCTGTAACTAATAAGTATGAGGGTTCCCTTTGCATAATCGGGGATGTCTACGGACACGTACATAGTAACAAGTCTAGCATGTGCCACTTTTTGTACATATCTGTCAACACATGCTAAGTCTAGGTTATTCATCGTGGGGAGTATCTGCATGTTATGTACTCGCCTTATATGTCACACAACAAGATGCTTGACTACATTTAAGCGCAAGATACCGTGTATTGCACTATATTCGTGTATATATACAAAATAAACCGTGGATCCACAAAAAAAGAATATTTGTACATCGTCTGATGAGATAAGTCAGCTGCGCATGCTTGGGAAATGCATTGCAATTTATATTTTTAAAAATGTACATAAACGAATAACAGAAGGATAATGGCACTGCACACGTGCATATATGTACAGGCACAGAAATCCAAACCCTTAAAAGCGTACATACAAGACCGACGCCTTCTTGACAAACAACGGTACAACAGACTATACAGACGATAAACATACGTAATATGTATGCTCATACAGGACAAATATCTGTACACCAGAAAATACAGACGATAAACATACGTAATATGTATGCTCATACAGGACAAATATTTGTACACTAGAACATACAGACGATAAACATACGTAACATGTATGCTCGTACAGATCTACGACTAACAATGCCTTGAGCAATCCGTGTAACGTTGCATCTACCAGCATACGATATAAAACGTACCTCCATTCTCTGTAGTCTCAATGCGCACATTAGACATTGGCGCGTTCATCCATTTGCAGATGCTCTGAGTCAGCTCGGTGCTGGCGCTACCGCTGAAAATCTGCAAAAATGTTACAGTAAGGTCAGAGATAACGTTAAAACGAAGAGAAAATAGAGATGGATCTAAAAAGAGCTGAGATACAACTAAAATCCTTCTATATGCGTACTATAATACAAAAAAATTTGTTTCTACCTATGTATGTATGTATATATGTATGTATTTACATATTCGCATAAACATTCATTTATATGTATGTATGTATGTATGCATGGTACTACATGCGTACATAATTACAAAACATTTATTTCTACCTATCTTTGTATGTATGTATGTATGTGTGTATGTATGTAAATACATATTTGCGTAAACATTCATTTATATATATGTATGTATGCACGTTTATATATATATATATATATATATAATAACGTAGCATAC